CTCCCTCGTACAAAAATCTTTAATTGCCATAAGTTATGCGTTACCCTGAAAATACATTGGCCTGACTACTCCCTTATTAGAACTGCCGCTACTCCTTCTTAGAATAGCGTTGGCAAAAATAACGTCATGAGTTGCTTTATCAATCAGTCACTTTAAAAAAATCTTATGTGTCGACGGCTTTTGATAACGTTCCAAAGATGTGATAACACTCCAATAATGACAATCCATTTTGGGAGGTGACAGATTTTTTACGCCTATGATGAAGTTCTAAAGAGCTTTTGTTTCTCAAACTTTACATGCATCTTAGCTCAGACGGAGCTGCTAGTTGGTGCGATCCATCTGTCTAGCTTGGAGAACACAACTTGTTATCATAAGTCATGTATTCCCATTGCTCCGCTAGACTTAAGATCCCAATACATAATTGTTAATGGACGATCATACAGTTGTACCATATCATACAGAATATCGCGAGCTGCTTGTCTGTGGCACAATAAGGACTACCTGAATTTTTGCATAAGTTCACAGAAGAACGGTTGATGTCATATTTCAAATCTATACAGTGTCAAGTAATTTCGAGAGACTGAGAAATGGATTTCAAAAAAAACTGCACTGCAGTTGAGCTGTACTTAATGAAAACCTCTCATCCTTACTCATTAGGCCTTTATGCAGATGGACTGAGATTGTATAGAACATTCATCAAGAAAGATTTTAATCGAACTCGTGATTGATGAGCCACCCTAACCAAGTATAAAAATCAAACATATAGATTCAAGTAACGCTTGCAAATAATAATGAACTACTCCATAACTCTTTTGCCTTCGGTCCTCAGCAGCTTTTGTCGAACCCAAACTTAATAATAAACTCACCAACCGCGCTGAAGAAATTCTCAAATGCCATGTGATCTCGTGATGTTGTGTTGACATTAACAACGACACCGGTAATATTATTTGGATCAATCTCTGGCAGATCTCCGATCAGATTATCGCGTGCAGGTGGAGAATCACTGGCAAAATTAGAGGTAGAAGGTTCAGGAAAATCGCCAGACATGACGTTCTCGAGCAGCGTTCCATTTATTTCCATCTGCAATGTAAACAGAATTATAGATGCGAAAGATGAAGGGGCTTCAAGCTCAAAATTGCCGTTATTAGAGACATAATAATATGAACGTACTGCAAACAAATTTACGATGAAATGTGAAGGGACAGAGAAGAAAAGGATCTGAACTTGTTTTCTGGAATATGTGTAAAAAATTCGTAGAAATTGAAGTAGAAAGGTGATAAATACGTAAAATTTGAACCTAATTCGTTTAACCGCAGTTTGTAAAGTTCAAGGCTCAACTCAGGAGTTTACCTGGGTGAGCACTCCTATCGGGTACGACTTAGGACCATTGCCAATTAACTACAAAAATGCGCTAAATCGGAATGGGAAAAAGCGTGAGAATTCGTAAAGA